AACTGTGGCACCAGAGGACTGGTATGTGATTACTGCCCCGTGGAGGAGGATTGCAAGTATTTCTAGGAAGGGAAACTGGGAGACAAATAAAAGGAGCTTTCAATGTACCTAGGAGGAAAGGCTGAGTTAAAAATATTTCCTTTCCTGCTTTTCTCTTGTCATTCCAACTAGTGTCCTTCAAGTACAAGTTACGTGCTTCCTTCTCCATTTTGCCTGAGCACTGCGATTCAGGAAGCAAGGATGGCGGAAGACAGATGCACCAATTCTTTAAAATGAAGGTCACCAGAAATGGGAAATGACAAAACAAGACATTTTTCTCTACTCAAAATTCTCCAAGCAGCTGAAACACTCTTTTTCTGAAAGGTTGCAAACAGTTGGCTTTTGACGAAAGTAGCGATAAAAAACCTTCAATAATATTTCAAGTAACTGCAGAATCTATTTCCCCTCAAGCTTCTTTCTTTCAGAAGCAGTTCCTTCTCCAAAACATCTCCAGGAAATGACATTTCAGCATGTGTACAGCACTGCAATAAAACAGCAACACACCCAGGAATATTTTTCAAGTTCACAGCAAGGCGAGCAGATGATCAAGGTATTAAAAAAAATTACAAAGGTCTAGCAGAGAAGACAATCAGCTTGGTCTCTTGCTATCTGCTTTGCTGATTCTCAGAGAGCCCCATTTGGCTTTTAAAATCTTGACCAGTCTTCTAGAGCCATCCCAGCTGCATCCAGCCAAGGAAATGTGCTTGAGTATAGAAAATGATGTTTCTTCCTGGCTTGTTCTGCCATGAGACTGCTCCTTGTCAGCTGTAAGAAACCATGCTCTTAACAGAAAGAATCTTGCCATTTAGAAATTTGCCCGTTCTTCACAGCTTTATAATACCTCACATTTTTGTTGAGGGGGCCTTGGCCCTGCATGGAAATAAAGGTTTCCACACTTCATGTAAAAATCTTTGCTAACTTTAAAAACATACAGCATATCTCTGACTATAGCATGAAGAACAATGTGGCAGAATTTAGTTTCTTTGTTTAAGTCCCTGTATATGGAATTTCAGTGTCCAGAGAGTTTATGCTGTACTGCGGGGGTCTCATCACCCATCAAGGAACTTAAAATAGATGTTCTGTGATAAAATGATTTGCAGACCTGACACTGAAAACCACATCATGCTGGTGGGAACTTCACTTCTGTCCAAGAGGAGAATTTCTGTGATGTGGCATTCACATTCTCTGACAAAATTCCTTCACCCAGGGTTTTTCTCCTGGGAAGCTGAGAAGCCTCAGAGAAAAGGAAAACAATTCTTATCTCATTTGCTTCTCCTGTGTTTTGCTCATGTAGAATGTGTTTGGAGATTGTTTACCCAAAGTTGATTGCCTGATTAGATTCTGGTGTGGCTTGCTTTGACTCATTGGCCAACCAAGGCCAAGCTGTGTTGGAACTCTGTAAAGAGTTGAGTTTTCATTATTATCTTTTTAGCATTCATTAGGTATCTTTTCTGAATTCTTCAGTTTAGCATGGTATAGTAATCTTTAATATAATATAGTACTATAAAGTAATAAATTAGCCTTCTGAGAACATGGAGTCAGATGCATCATTCCTATCTTCATTGGGGCTTCCCTATGAATACAATACTGTGAGAATTAACTTGTTTCTGTTCCTGCTGTGGTACACTGGTGTCCCTCATAGAGTGTTACCTCCCTGTTTTCTGAGATTATGCCTAGACAAAGCCTATCTTTCATTCACAGTGCACATTCCTTACATACCTCTTTAACACACCACCTTCCAGCAGAAGAGGTCACTCAGATCAAACCCGGTGGCTCATCTGGTGCTTCCCATCTGCACACAGATCACCCTACCCGTGATCTTCTCTACCTGCTCTGGCTGTTTTACGAAATACCTAATGATGATCTCACAGAGACCAGCTGCGAGGCAAAGGCATGAGATGCCTGCATCAAACCCATGACTCTGACCTCTGTTTCCAAGTCAGCACCAAGGCAATGTCAGACTTTGGACCCTTCTGCAATGTCACTACACAAATACCAAAACCAACGTACTCTATAAATACATAATTCTACAAAACATGAACATCCTTTTGACCCTCTGCTTGTCAGTGACAATACAATAACAAAGACAGAGGATGGGGGACTTATGCTCAAATACCACAATTTGAGTATTGATGTGCTGAGAGGCATCATGTATAGTAAGCCTAACACTGAGGTCCTCCATCAATCAAATTGTATACTGTCTCACCTCATGCAGTTACTAGGTGTCAGAAAATAACTTTTCCTATCACCTAAAAGGTTTTTTTGCTCTTTGACTGTTGAATTGAATTTAAAAACATTCATCTCTGAATAACTAAGCAGAGCTTTCAGTCTGATAAAGATATGGATACAAAATGGTAGCACTTGGAAATACCAAGAAAAAGGCAACCTTTCAACCTTACATATCAGCTCTCTCTTTCCTTCTGTCCTCTCCCAGAGAAGAATCTCCCATTAAGTTCAGAGGAAATTTCATCAGATTAGGCCATGTGTTTTGACCCTTACCACTTTTGACATTAAAAATAATTGAATCCATTGTTGCAGCAAATAAGGACGTAATAAAATATTGTATTAGTATCTATTTTTTGATAATTACTGATGTTCTATGCAGGTGGGAAAGCTTGGGTGCGTGCCTGTAGGACACTAATGGGAATGCTTTTTTTCCAAGTGTCACATTTATCAGTGCACTAGAAGAAAATAAGCCTGTATTATGAAGCTTCATGCTGGCTCTCATTATGCCATCTCACAAGCTTGTCCTTTGATTCATTATAAAGATTAAATATATTTTCTCAGTGAGATCAGAGGTACTAGACAAGAGGTCATGCAAATGCTGGCAGAAAAATGCTAGTTTTCCATGTGTCAAATCTTTTGTACTACACATCCAAGGTTCAACCAATGCTTCTAATTGCTGCAGGGGTCTTGTAGGGTGCTGGTGGATTTCTGTTCCCCTGGGATGGGGATGATGGAAACTGTGAGGTCCCAGCTCTCGCACAGTCCAGAAGCAAATCTCTATCCCTGTCTTCCACAGGGTGCTCAGCAAATTTGACATCCTCATCAATTTTGCTGCAGTTAGTAGCAGGGAAGCTGACCGGAATACCAATTTTGCAGAGCAGCTGCAGGATACTGTTAACTTACTAGAAATAAAAATTTTTCTATAAAAAAAAGGAGAAAGGTTCTGGATTCAACTGAGATCAAACCCAGTACTGTGACTGACAAATGTTCTGGAGACCCAGCTCTTAAATTGTTTTTGCAGACACTGAACTCACTCTTACTAGGGGAGAAGATACGCTGGCATGTCTGGTAAAACTTCCTATTCCTCTGAGAAGAGAAAATACATGTGTTCAGTCTGGTTCTAATCACTGTGTACTTTCCAAATATTTTGGTAATGGGGCAAATCTTAGCAATACTTCTTGTAATGCCCAGAGTGGACTACGGAGCCATATTCCATCCAGCTTCAAACCAGTCAGCCTAAACACAGCAGCATGCAGCTCAGCCTCATCAGCTGGAGCTGCAGAAACCATAAAACTCAACAGTAGGCAAGCTTTGGCAACCCATGGTACCTCCTGAAAAGCCATGGTTATTCTCCTAGTTGTAACCAACCAAGGCAGTATGCTCAAACTAGATTCAAAGCAGTGGTCACCACAGTGTCCACATATCCCTAAGAGCTACATGGTTTTCATGGAAATTCTACTACACTACACTATGGTTATGACTGATGCAGAATAAGAAAGACAAGTTCTTTTTTTTGCAGAAAGATGTCATTTTTGGTGACAATAGCTTCTAGCTGTCAAGTCAAAAAATATGATCATCACTCAGAGTGATATAGCCATCCATTCCAGTTCATTAGTTTTTGGCTGATAAATCAGAAAGCAGCCTAAACAGCACACAGTAAAGAACTTATTCAGGTACAAACCCTGAAAATACTTATTCTGCATTTAAACTCATTCAAAAATTCACACTTAGCTAAATGAGATGTCTCACCCCATTGTGGGCCACTTTCAGGAGTACAGGATTTGGGGTGCCACAGGTACACCCAAGTAGTGCCTGAAACCTTCAACCGTGGAATGCACAGGATAGAAAAGCAACTTATTGTAGCTCAAGCCTCTTCTGACACTTGAAGGAGCAAGATACTCACTGCTTTCTTTCTAGTTGTAGAGAAAACAATAAGAAATCTGGAGAAACTCCATGTTTTCTCACAGATAATCCAGGCTAAAGACTTGCAGAACCAAACGTAGCAATTATTGGCCATCATGAAAGAACAAAGAAAATAAACCTTCTAAATACATTGCAGAACTTTCATCACATGGATCAATGCCTGCATCTGGGATTCTTGCTCTGACCAATTTGCATTACAAATCCACATTTTTTCAGTTTCCCTTTTTTTTTTTTTTAATAAAAATGGGTCTTGGACTAGAAGTGCAAGAAAGCAATGGCAAAAGGAGGGGTGTGGCAGGAACTGAGATTTGGTTTTCTCAAAAAAACAGGGACACATCATTCCTGCCCAATGGAATGAATAATTTCTGGTTATGCAAGTTACTCAACACAATGTCAACTTTACCCTGTCACTCCTTTTCTTCTCACTTCTTTATTAGCACTCACAGGAGCTTAAATGTGGCTAAATCGACCTCTAGCATTATCTTTTCATACTGCCTTTTCCTTTATTCATAATCTTTGGAATCAATATTCAAAGATTTCTTCTGAGTTAGGCTCTAGATCTAGTAGCAGAACCTGAAAATAAAGATTTGGTGAGCTGCTGATTTAATTGCAGTGCACCCAATGTGTCACTTTAGGGCTTTTAAAGAAAAAGTTTGTAACAAAGTTAAAGATCTTCTCTTAGAATCTGATGAATCTCTCCAAGCCAAGCTTCAACAGTTGAAATACATGCAAATTGAGGCTGTATTACAAATTTTCAGCCTTGATGAGCAAAAAGTTCCAGATTAATAAACCGACCCCAATGCCACTGTTACCTGCTGAAGTGTGCTTAAATTTTTCACTCTTCTTCTTCCTCCATTTCCATGGCTTAAAAATTCTCCCGAGAGTGGCAAATTTGCTCCTTCTTCTGATTGGAGGCGTGTGAGTCCCAGGTACTAGAGAATCTGAACGCATTGCAGCCAGTCTTTCCACCTCTTCAGCTGTAATTTCAGCAAGAAAAAGAGAAAAACACAAGGAAGGTGGGAAGTGAAATAAATGCCTTAATAAATGATCAGAAAACCACACAGATGGCAAAAATTTTTCATGGACATGGAGAAGGATAGCAAAGGGAAAAAAAATTTAACATTATTTTCTTTTCTTTTAGTGAAATTGTTAATCTACTGTAAAGAACAATAGTAACAACAAGATTCAACAGAAAATTATTATGTTATAGAAGTTATGGCTTTTAACAAATTGTTCTACATTGCTCTAGACAGCTGGCAGTTCAGCCATCAGCCATTCCTGGGGAAGTGTGACAGAGAATGGAAAAGAGAAAGCCAAAAAAAAAGATTCAATATAATTTAAAAGAAATATTACAGAGTTTTGTTTTGTTTTTTTTTTTTTTTTAATTGCAATGGAAAGAAACATTTTGTTTTACTAATATTTATTAAGAGCAAGGACCCTCATAAATAATGACCCTTTGGTACCATTTGGTGTCCATTAAAATTGCTTGGGTTACAAAAAGGGGCTACATTAGAACTTCCTAGTTAAGTGTTAGAGGGTGCTAAGAAAATCATAGACTCATAGAATTGCTTGGGATGAATAAGACCTCTAATATGGGGTCCAGCTGTTAACCCAGCACTGCTAAGTCCACCCCTAAACCACATCCCCAAGTGTCAGATGTACACACCTTTTAAATTCTTCCAAGGATGGTGACTGCATCATCACTATCTTTGAAAGATGGTGACTGCCACTTCCCTGGCCCCCTGTTCCAATGCTTTACAACTGTTTCCATAAAAAATTGTTCTAATATGCAATCTAAAAGCTCCCTGGTGTCACTTGAGGCCATTTCCTCTAGTCCTACCACTGGTTACCTGGGAGAAGAGGCTGACCCCCACCTGGCTACACCCTCCTTTTAGGTAGTTCTAGAGATCTATAAGGTCCCCTGAGCCTCCTTTTCTCCTCAGAATCTCTCCTGCCTCAGATACTCATGATAAGACCTGCTCCAGGTCTTATCAGCCTTTCTCTAGTACCCAGAGTCTTTCTTATAGTGCAGGGCCCAAGTCTTGTCCCATTTTTCTGCCCACTCACTGTCCCCCAATTCTTATGCTTAGCTTTTAACATTTAAACTTTTAATTTTGGATTTTCATACAGTCCCCACTTAGGGCTGAATTCCCTTGAAGAGGATAGAGGTTTTCACTGAGCTTCTGTTTTTAAGAGTTCAGTTATCTGCTACCTTTACCCTGTAGTACACCATGATAGTCTCAATACTGGAAAAAAAAAAAAACCCTGAAGAACTTAAATTACCCTTCCTACTTGATGAGAACAAGAGAAGTCTGGGGACTGTCCCTTGACATACTTAAATTGCATGGTCCCCCTGTCTCACATTTGCAAGGCAAAACTAATGCTGATAGTTTTGGGAAATAACATCTCTGGCATTAGAGGCACAGAGAATGGAAAGCCAGGACCACAAAGAAAGCACCAACAGAGGGAAGACACCAGTAGCACGAGAGGTTGTCTCTGTGCCACAGCTGCATAGTTCAGTCAGCATACCAGCAGGGGCTTTGTGTGGTTTGTTGATGTTATTTTTGTTTGTTCATTTTTTAAGTTGTTGTTGGGTGGGTTTTTTTGGTTTTGTTTTTTTTTTTTAAGGGATACCATTTCCCAGACTTGTGTTGTAATGTGACACTGCCACTAACACTGATTTGAGAGGATTGCACACACAGTCCAGATGCATAAAGACAGGATGCAGATTGTCACCTCTCCTGCCCTGAAGACAACAGCCCAGTGCTTCTATTCACCTCTCATATTTTAAATATTAACCTCAGGCATGAGCTTGAGCTCAGGAACCTCAGCAAGAACATTGCTTTGAAGGGATGAGCACACCCACTCCACACTGACAGAATCACCAGAGATTTTGGCTGGCAAATTCTTATGTATCTCAATGGAAATTTTTTCAAGGCTTTAAGTGAGCCAAATTTAGGTTGGTTTTCATGGGAACAGCCAGAGACGCATTTCTGACACAAAGGAGGTTTCATTATCAGAACTCCAACTGAACTACTATTTGAGTCCCTCAGGTCTTTGCAAGAAGGTTGGTTGTTTTGTTATTGTTCTTTTGTTTGTTTTTAATGTTAATATGCAACACAATCCTTTTTCCTGTAAAATATCAATGCCAGATACAGCTGCCTGTAATTTTCCAAGGAAGGAAAAGCTAGCCAGCAAGATAGATAGATATATAGATAGATAGATAGCTGAGCCCAGATATTTCAGTGGAAATGGTTAAAAACTGCTATTCTTTGGGGTAATAAAGAGAAAGACAGACCTTTCTGAGAACATCTACTTTCAATTTAAAACAGAGGGAATAAAAGATAATCCAGCCAAAGCATTTCATTCTGTTCCAGCTCTTTGTGCCTGACTGCCTGGAGAAGTACCTTCTTATCCAAAGAACCCATTACAAGGCTCTGTCCTGTACAGGGGCTGGGACATGCTGTATCAAGGCTGGGAATTGCCTGGTAATGCTGAATAAACCATATGGCTAAAAAGAAGAGGAAATCAGAAATTTCCTTGCACTTTCTAATTTCACTGGCACCTGCTGGGCCTTGAAGACCAGCACAGGGTACAGACCACTGCCCTCTATATGCAGATCCAAAGGGACCACTCCTTTTCCCCTTCCTCCATTTTTGAGATGCCTCTAGGTCAAGCAAGTAAGATCCCACTGTGCTCCACTGCTGTGATTTTTTAGAGATGCTGCTAAAAGCAATGGACTGGTATTGTCTTTGGTGTCTTATTGAGGGGACACAGAAGTGGCCCACTGAGCAAACTGGGAATGACACTACTGCTGCTGCTGCTGAATTAGGCTTCCTGCTAACAAACCTACAGCTGAAACATTGAAATGCCTCTTGCTGCTCACCCTCTCTCCTTTTCACCATCACTGAGCCAAGATCTCTGCTATGCAAGTGCCTTTGTTATGAAATCTCAGAGCTGCAACAACTTCTCTTTGCTAGCTGGTCCTAACTGGTATTGCCGAGGCCATTTCCTGGAGAACCAACACCCCTTAAAGACACTCCCCGTTTCACAACACAACTCTGTCTCACACCAGCTGCGCTCTCACTGCCCCTAGGGAAGCTTTTCCCACTCAGGGTAAATGAGTATGGATTTACAGTCAGGCAAAACTAACACTGGAGTAAAAAATAATTTACCCAGAGGGTGGGTTCACTGAAAGCCAAACACAGTGTCAAAACCATTTCCACATTTTGACTGCTCTTCCTTGAATTTCAGTACTGTCTTACACACAAATCTGTGGCCTCAGAGTCCTGCAGTGCCTGGCATCAGTCATGAAAGTGTCCCTTCTCCTTCATCCTCTCCAAACACACACACAGCTCCAAGCCAATGCAAGTAACCACTCTTTTTCCTTCTCATTCGCATTTCTCAGAAGGACATGATTTTTTTTCATGAGAAATGCTCTCAAGAGCACTGCTAATTCAAAGCATAATAATCACTGGCCAGGAATAAACCACATTAGCATAAAGCCATGACAGTTTTAATACAGCAAGAATAAAAGCAGACCACGACGCAAGAAGCAAATGCCAGAATTCTGTGCTCTCCTCTGCTGCATCTTTTGCTCAAGTTGGCTGGATTTCTCTGCCTTTTTGGCTCATAATAGCTATTGACTGGCTGTGGGCTGCGACACCCACTGCTGACAGCAGGCTCCGTAGGCTGATTTCACACCTTTGCTGTTCCCAAAAAAGCTGGTACTTGCAGGAATGGAAAGTAACCCAGACCTTGCACTCTTTTTCTATTTTTTTTTTTTCTTCAAAGAGGAAAGCAGTCCTAGCAGTCCCAGCCTGATCAGTCTGCTGAACTGGGAGAGGGAACTGCAGTGTGCATTAGTACCTGTAGTCACACTGTGGAGATCTCATCTTGACACTGGTGCCACAAATGTGATCTTTACGGGTCACAGGTGCTGCTGATACTCACTGCTTTTGGGAACTTGTTCTGATTTTTTTCCAGGATATGAGAGATCTTTCTGAGACACAAAGAAATACTGGGAACTGCTCTTATGGCAAGAGGGTGATGCACTCCCCTCCCACTTTCTTCTGTCCAAGCTGTCATTTCAGAGCTAGCAATGGGGAAACTAAACCTGAGAGTTTTTCATGGGCTGTTTGGCTGTGAGGCAGCTCTCAATATTTTACTGTAGTTCTTAATAATTCTGAAGTTCACATAGGCTTTATATAGGGCTAAAGTAAGACATGGGGTTTTAATGAAAGAACCCCACCACAAACTGAAATACTTTGCATCCAAGTAATATAGAAAAAAGTACATATTTGAAATAAATTACAAAGAAAAGAAGAGGCCAGGCCATCTTGAACCTGTTCTGTATGTTCTTATGATTTTCCCACATCTTTCAGTAGGGTGCTGATTTCCAGAAAGTCCAGTAAGAGACAACACAGCAGTTGCCAACTTTTTGGATTTGAGAAGGACAGCATGCAGATCAAAAGCCCTCTCACAGACGAGATAACTTATGAAGTTTTCCTGGAGAATGACAGCCAGTTTTGTCATTCCCACCACTGTCTGGGAATCACTTAATGTATTAATGTAGCTGATATGTAATACCATATTATCCAGCTTCCATTTTAGTGGAAAAAACATCACAGCATTTGGGTACAAAGAGCAATTTCATTGCTGAAGGCTGAAGCCCACCCATCCCACTGGTGGTCTTTAATATTACCTTCCTCATTGGTAATCACACCAAGTTTTCTCTTAGACCTTTTCTTAACATTCATTTTTCATAGTCAGACACATGATTATCTTAATCAAAAGGAAATTTACTTCACAAAGTTAGGTTTTAATTCTTTCTAGGAAGTTCCAGTGGCTACTTTTTGCTTTCTGTTACATTTACACAAATCTGTAGTAACAGGCTGAAAATTATCTTGGCCCTAAAGATGCAATTAACTAAATGTGTCATATTATTCAATGACAAGAACTCTATATAAATAAAACC